ACCCACTTAGTTTCTTGAATACATAAGGTATTAATTTTCCTATGAATCATAATATCAACTAATTCTATTAATTTACCATTGAGAGTACCTATATTCCAAGATCCTATCATAATATTAGTTTCATTAGTTTCATGGACTAACTTCTTTACCCACATTCGCCCGTAATGTGGGAACTTTTGCTTTTTTAACACTACACCCGAGTGTCGGTGTAGCGGCCCTTGCACACTTTTTTACTGTATTCAGGCTATACAGCGCGTCGCTTCCAGGGAACGCCCTAGCACTTACACAATGATCAAAAGGATTCATGTCATGATTTTTTCGACAAGTTTTATGCTGGTTGTCGACTACCTAACGCAACCCTCCACTTTTCGCATCCAGGCTTGGGACCGGCAACGACAATGTTTGAATGTGATAAGATATTTGAATGCTATAAAATGAATGTGATAAGATATTTAAGTGAATGTCATTTCTAAGCAACTTATGAAGAGAAATCTGAAATGAAAAAGTTATAACACGAGCAAGAAGTGGAATTAGATCAACATGAAGATTTATATAAGATTAAAATTATGTTCGAGAAAATTTTGAACTTTTGGACACGACAAAAAAAGATAAACTTTTTTGTCCATCAATTAAAAAACCTCCTGAGCTTGAGTTGAAGTTACTTACTGAATATTTGAAGTACATCTTTCTAGATGATTCCTCAACATTACCTGTTATAATTTCCTCAAAATTAACTACAAAAAAAGAAGAGAATTTGATGAAAACTACAAAAGAGTTACAATAAAGCCTTTAGATAGACAATTGCTGATATAAAAGAAATCAGTCCTTTAATTTGTATGCATAAATTCATATGAAAGAGAATTGCAACCCTAGGGCTGATCCTCAAAGGAGATTGAATCATATCATGAAAGAAGTTGTTAAAAAAAGTTGTTAAAAAAAAAAATTTAAAGTTGTTAGATGCTGGAATTATCTACTCTATTTCAGATAGTGCATGGGTTAGTCTAATTCACTGCGTTCCTAAGAAATAATGAGTTACTGTGACTTTAAATGAACATAATCAGTTAGTTAATACTAATAAGACAAGTCACAGGATGTCGAATATATATTGATTATAGAAAATTAAGTCTCGCCACTAGGAAAGATCATTTTTCACTACCCTTTCTAGATCAAGTGTTGGATAGACTAGCTGGGCATAAATACTTCTATTTTCTGGATAGATATACCGGTTATCACCAAATGCAAATAGCTCCTGACGATCAAAAGACAACAATTTTTACCAGTTCTTATAGTACATTTGTTTTTAGAAGAATGTCCTTTGATTTATGTAATGCACCTACTCTATTTCAAAGATGTATGATGACTATTTTTTATAATTTAATTGAAAAAGAGATTGAAGTTTTTATGAATGATATTTCAGTGTTAGAAACTTCATTTGAATCATGTTTCAAAAATTTATCGAAAGTTCTTAAGCGTTGTGAAGAAATTAATTTAGTCCTTAAATGAGAAAAATGTCAATTTATGGTAGCAAGAGGAATAGATTTGGGACATTAAATTTCAGAAAATAGTATGAAAGTAGACCCTGTAAAAATTCAAGTGATCGCTAATTTACCTTACCCACCAAGTGTGAAGAAAATTAGGAATTTTTTAGGACATGTTGAATTCTACAGGTGGTATATTAAAGATTTTTCAAAAATTGCTAACCCTCTATGCCATTTACTTGAAAAAGATTTCATTTTTAATTTTGATCAAAAAGTGTCTTTGATTAGCCATCGTTTGGATCTAAATTTAGTGTGTATTCCATTCCAATATAATCGTCTTGTTTATCTTTTAGGATGGATGTCAACCGTCTGCCTTCCATCCTAATGTATTTAAGTGAATATCTTTCTTTGAATAGCTCTTTGTTTAGATGTCAGCTCAGCGTTTTTCATTCCGATCTAATCACTTTGAAATGAAATCTTCAAAATCTTTTAAAACAAACTTTTTAAAGTTAAAACAGTTAATATCTTATTTTAATTAGGTCTCAGTTTGGATGTTAGTCGTGCGCTTTCCATTCTGATCTAATCATCTTTGATTAGCTTTTGGATAGATGTAAAGTTCATGTATGAGGTTCTATCTCAATCTAATCACCTTATTTACCTCTTAGGGAGATTGTAGGTTGTATGCTTTTCATCATAATGTATTCAAGTTTAATGAGTATTTTTTAATTAGTTCCCATGCTTTGGATATTTCTGTGTGGATTTTCATCTTGGACTAAACACCCTGTGCACCTCTTTAGCTAGATGTGATGCCTGGAGCTTTCTAGTATAAGCATGATCAGGTGTTTTGAATCCTTTGTGTCATTAAGGTAAAAATTCTGGGACCTAGTCTAATGTTGTTTAGACTTTCCACAGTTCCTTCTGAGCTTTGGATCCACCGATGTAGGAAGAAACCCTTCGTCGAACCATCACGATGTGGTCTGGTTTTGATTGACTTCAAGTTAGTCAGGGTAATTTCAAAGTCAATCATTTGACTCAATAGATCATAACAAGGATAACTCTTGTTTTAAGTCGACTCATCAAAAATCATACTCTTTTCTTTTTTCAGAATTAGTCGGTGTTAGAGTAAACCCCATGTGGAACCATCACGATTGATCGAGTTTGGTTGATTTTCATGCATGCAATGCTGATAGTACGAACCAATCTTTTGAGTCTATAATTCTAAGGAATCTAAGGAATACCCATTTAACCCTTTTCTTTACTAGTTTGGCTCATCGAAAATCGTACGCTCTCCTTTTTGACCCGCCGGTGTTGAAGGCATTCCATTGAGCACTATCACCTATGAATTTAAATAGAAAAATCATTCCCACATATAATTGACCTGCATTAATCAGGTACCATTGCCATTTTAAAATTCTTTAGAACAGTCAAATAAGTAAAATGAAAATCTATGAAAATGATGGTTCAATTCAGTATTTAATCCATTTTTGCAAATTTTAACCTGTTAGACTTTAACAAAATGATTCCAGCTTCAAGTTTCATACAATGAGAACTTTTCTTATTCGATGACTATTTATTATTTCTAATCCGATTGATGGAGCCACAAGATATTTCTGCCTACGAATGCTTTTTATCAATGAGAGATAGAGACTAGTCAGGATTAACAAAATGCATCACATATCAGTTTGCTACATGCATTCTGCTAAGAGAATGAATTATGGAGTTCAACTTACAGTTTAAATTTGTCAAATTCAATAGGATAACAAAACAATAAAATTAAGAATTCTTACGACCTTAGTTCCAAGAAATATTTGGTAAATCTGTTGGAAAAAGGTAACTGAATGACCACATCATGTTGCATTAGCCAAATTCTAAAGCATGTAGTTACAAGAAAAGCTATCGTGACTTCTTACTGGCAGGTCATCACAAGATGCATGACTCGCTGCTTCTGAAAAGAACACTGCTCAACAAGATCCAAAATGAACTCATCAGCAGCCCCCTGGAAATCTTAGAGCTTTTTAGTATCAGGTACAAGTAAAAACAGTGTGCTGGTCAAGAAAGCCTAGCGCACAAGTAAAATGGTCTTGAAAAAGATGTCATGAAGCAAATAATTAGTTTCACTGAGAAAAAATGGAGGGAGAAAGAGAGAGAGAGAGAGAGCAGTAGATAATCACAAAGGAAGTCTCATAAGCAATTAAAAATATTTTCATTAGCTCACATAATAAAAATATCAGTGCATTACCAAATAATAATCAACACCGTAAGTCAGATAAATAAACATAAATAAACAAATGAAGAGCACAAATTTATATCTTCTAAACATATATTTTATAATTCAATGTAGGGAATAAAATCTCGGGAAAAAAATAATACTTTGTTAATATTCATCATTTGATATAGCCTACCCACTACAACAGAAAAGAAGCAACTTCACAGTAACTAAAGAAGTAAAATGGTATACAATTCTCCCTTGATATGATTACTGAAGAGTAAGACTCCAATGGATAGTAAGGGTCTGGGGCAGCTGTAGCTTATTGAATATCTGCTGATAAGCTAGGTGCGGTGGCTATTACAAATTTTTATTTTCTGGAAAAGACTGACCGCAGCCAGAAAGCTGTCACTGCACCTAGATAGGTGCGGCGTGAAAATGTTGTTTTCAACATTTTGAAAACCCACAAGCTGTCAAAACACAGTTTACCCAAACAGACAGGATGCGTTTTTAAAACGCCACCGCACCAAATAAGTTGTCCCAAACGAGCACCAAATAAGCTGCCCCAAACGAGCCCTAAGTCACTTTCACTAAGAAAGACAAACAAAAGAAACAACGGGTAATCTTTTCAATTGTCTTTACCACAAGCAAAACGCAATGGAAAAGATCTATCGCATGCTAGGACACTAAATAGCTCAATGATTGGCATTATGTTTCAATTAGTAAAATAGGTATATTCAAACTTCTAAAAATCAATTCATATTGACATATTCCTTTTCCCACAAAATGTAATATAATCAATAAAGCAACTGGTCTTTTTGGATTATAACTTTAAGCTTAATAAAATCAATTGCTATTCTCAATTAAAAATTAAATAGGAAAATGAAAAGTTATGGAGATAAATATCTCATCAAAAAGAACCATTTTATTAATTCAAGGTTTGGATGAGAAAGTTCCAAATTATAATTTGATTAACCATAAATTTTAAAACAAAATCAATAAAATAATTCTAAACTTAAACTTTGTTAATGCTAAATTATCACAAAAAAGCATTACTCCGTAATTTTACGCAATTGTCAAAAAAAAAAAGGCAACACTTTGTGCAAAATCTTAAACAGTAAATTTATGTGAGAATTAGGTAAGGGTTGTCTAGGATGTCACCAGTAGGTATTGTAACAGCTTAACTATGATGAAGAAATGGTAGACCAAGCATAAAATTAAGAATAGATTTTTGAAGTGAAAATTTGATACTTCAAATGAGAAGAAAAGATGATTAGTTGAGGGAAGATAACTGAATTAGTGGAGTCAAATATCAAAAAAAAAATTTATCAGTACTGGTTGTTTGCCAAAACCTAAAAAGAAAGAGGAATCAAGAAAATTGAGAAATGCTATAAATTATGTTTCACGTTTGGAGGGTTAGTTTGGAGGGTTAATAATAGGAATGGGGTGACAATAGTAAAAAATAGAAAGTTAAAACATAAAATTGCTCAATCCAAATAGGTTAGTGATAGAGTGATAATAGTAAGTTTATCATTAAAGATCCTATAAATATTATCAATGCTTGTGCTCCACAAATTAGATTAGGTGATAGTTTGAAAAATTAGTTTTGAGAAAAAATATGAAATACTACAGTATAAATCTGGGACAAAATGATAATCATTGGAGGCAAATAAAACATAGACATAGGTTCTGGCGATAAGTATTTTAAAGGATTCATGTCGGATAAGAAATGATAAAAACAAAATGACTGGTGCAGTAGCATAATAACATTACAAAAAGTAAACATATATTCTAAAAAAATAAAAAAGAGAATCACCTAGTTTCTATTGAAAGTGGATCCAACAATTAACTAAATGATTTCTTTTTATTTAAAATAAAGGAAAATAATATATTTTTACAATGATTTGAAGGTGAAGAATATTCGACCACAACATATAGTAGTTGGATATATGGTGGTACGTATGTAATTTCTCGAACATATAATATAGAATAAGATTGCTAGTTCTATTAAATAGATTTATAACAAAGTCTTGTGACTCTAGTAATAGCTCATGCATTGGTAAGAACATTTCATGAATAGGCGCAAAAGCTTATAAAGGCAAAAAGAAAACTAAAGATTGAAATATATATATATATATGAGGGCTTACAATGAAATCAAGAAAACTACAAGTCCTGCTAAAAGAATAATGAGAATGGCAACACTTACAACTTTGATTGATTTATATATTAGGTAAAACATTAAGAATAGATATATAAAAACATTTTTAACAAAAGATGGAGATCTAAAGACTTTTGGTTAAATACAATAACGGTGATTAAAATAAAACTAAGTTAAGATAAAGATAACAAGGGAAGAAAAAAAATAATATTTCGAGAACAAATCTTTAGGAAAAACATATATTGGAACAGTACAGTATTCCTTATCTTTTGATATAAACATGTATAAGAACAAGTTTGCTATAAAGATGTATAAAAACAATTTTTAGATATATGAGAGATATCTAAAGAGAGTTAAAAAATTATATGAGATATTAGATATATTTAATCAGCAGTTCCTTTCAATGGAGTTAAAAAGAATGCCAAATTACTAAAGAAGCACCATTTTGATACAAATACTTAAGAACAAAAGATGTCTTCATGATAATTATAGAGTTTTAAACTGGTAAATAATACAATAAAGTTGTGGAATAGCATAATAGATAAAATTAAGAAAAATTTGGTATTGGAGAATCAATTTTATTCTAAGTAAGATTATCAACGATGGGTGAAATTTTGTGCTGAAGTGATTTTTAAAAAAGAATAAAGAGTGCAAAAGAAGAATATGCATATTATTTTCTATTTATATTGAGAAAGCTTAACATCGAGTTCCACAACAATTGGTTTGGTGTATACTAAATAAAAAAGAACTATAAGTCAGAGTCACATTAAAATTATTTAAAATATAGCTAATAGAGCATTGACTAATATTAGAATTACTGTGTAATGACTATAGAGACCTCAATCATAATAAGCTTACACCTAGATTAGCAATATCCTTGTATGACATTGTATTAATTATAAAATACTTACAGAAATTATTCAAAATCAGATAAATTAGTGCATAATTTTGCGCATAGTAGTTCTAATCTAAAAGAGATCTGTTGAAATATATGGCAGTTATAATAAAAAAATTTGAAATAAAAAAGCCTTAAAATTTGGAAAAAAGGAACTATGTACAAAAATATGCAATTTTACCATATATGATATTGCTAATCATCAGCCAATATCACTATCATTAAAACGGCCATGCAAAAAAAACAAAAAAAGAAAAATACTGTTGTCAAATGCTCAATAGCCTAGAAGCCTTTGTTGGTACTCAACAACAACAACAAAAACAACAAGAAGAAGCTTTTATCCTACTAAGTGGAGTCGGCTATATGAATCTTTTTTTTCCATTGTGTCATATTGAGTGTTATATTTTCATTTAATTCTAATAAATTAAAATCATTTTTATACAACATGCCCATGAATTTTAAAGCCTACCTCTACCTTTCGTAAGTTGAATCTAAAGCCTTTACTCTCCTAACTGGATCATCATATTGTCAATGTTATATGTGAACAAACCATTTAAGACAATTCTTTTTAATCTTGTCTGCAACATAAAAAAAAATTGCTCGCCTGAGTAAAATAAAGGAAATGAAAAAAATTGCAGCCACAAAATAATTTAATTAATTATAGAAAATATTTTCTGATAATATAAAATGATAGTCATTACATTACATTATATTGGATTTTGACTTTGATAGAGCTCCATTCTCATCTTTTTAATTAGATTAATTTCAATATTCAACAACATAAAGCAAAACTTCTATTCCAAATATGTGGAATCAACCTCATCAAAAATATGTTGTTGGAGGCACATTCAACAATAAGAATGTGACATACACAGGACATGAGGGCAAGATATGGATCCATACACTCCCCACCCTATTCTAGAGTCATCATGAGTGGATATAAGAATGGACTTCAATGTAAGCCTTCCACAGGCTCAACGGGGTAAGCACTTTGTTCGTAATAGACTTCTCCAAAATTGCCCATTTTGTGTATTGCTATAAGACGGCGGACGCCTTATGCATTGCAAATTTATACTTTAAAGAGATAATCCATTTTCATGGTATGCCTAGGATCGTCACTTCAAAATGGGAGGTATGTTTCTAAGCTATTTTTGCAATACTATTGAATGAGCTAAGTACGAAGCTTCAATTCAGCTCAAAAACTAATCCCCAAACTAATGAACAGATAAAGGTCGAGAATTAGAGTTTGAAAAGTTTTTATAAATTTTGGTAGAGAATAACATCAGGCAATCGTACTTACTTTTTTCATAAGGTCGAGTTTGCCTATAACAGTTCCACTAGCCAATTCATAGGTCATAATCCTTTGAGATTGCATGTGGATGAAATCCTCTCATCAATTTGGAGTTAGTGCCTATACTCACAGCTATTAAGCGTAGTATTGATGCCAAGATCAGAGTTTAAGAGAATCAGAATTTAAATGAGCAAGTGAGGAAAGAATTTGCCAAAACAGGATATCAGTAATTAGAGGCAAGTTAACATGTGCAAGAACTCTATCAATTTTAAGGAAGATGACTTAATGTGGGAAAGAAAGCCAAAGTCCGAGGTAAGCCTCGTGCAAACAGAGAAGCAGACCGCACTTGGGGGAAGAAGAAGGTTCGTGAGCAGTATGAAACAAGAAGGCTCCATGCTGAGCTTGCACGTGGGTTTGACAACCGAGCAAACAAAATGGTAAAAAT